ACATCGAAATGAGGTTCCATTATATTCGAGAACAGGTAGCAGAAGGAAAAATGAACTTGGAATACTGCAGCACTGAGAATCAGATTGCAGATTGTAAGAACAAGATCTGGTTCTACATATGGCCTTAAGTTTTGATGATAACTTCACATATTATATTAGAGAATAATTTTATACTCTAACTGTTTTTCTGTCTAGCGTGCAGCTTTTGTTTAAACAGGTTATGAATCTGATAGAAAGGCGTGTGACATCATCAAACTATAAACCCAACACTCTAGAAGAAAAAATATGGTGGTTACAAATTCAAGTCGATATTTTTGAATGCTTCTGATACAACAGTTCTAAAGAACGTTAGTACTAAATCTTCTGATCACTATTTGAATTTGAAGACTCTGAAGACTCAAGTTCTGAAGACTCAATTTCTGGAGACTCAAGTTCCGAAGACTCTTAAGATTCAAGTTCTAAAGACTCTGAAAACTCAAGTTCTGAAGACTCTAAAGACTCTGAAGAATTAAGTTCTGAAGTTCTGATTTTGAAGATTCTGAAGACATAACTTCTAGTGTCTTAGATTCTAATGTCTCAATTTTTTATCCTTCTTCAACATGTTTCATCAACAAATATCAGAATTATCTAAAAGAATAGAAGTTAAAGATAAAAAATGGTTTGCGTGAGATGGTAAGCATAAAAGTACATAGTACTTTGATCCTCCTGCTAAAGTAGCACAAAAAAGTCTTTTGATACAATATTGTCTAACACTTCCACATTGACCGTTGGGGACATAACAACTGGATTTCTATATCCTATTCTACCATTCAATGGATCTATTTTCCAACTATAAAAGGAAGGCTTGAAAGATTTAGAAAGTTAGCATTCTGCTCTACAAAAATCATACTAAAACGCTACACAAATCTCGTGTGAGATATACTCAATATAGTTTTGTAAATTAGAAAGGAACTTTTATTCATATCTTGCTATTAACAGTGTGTGTTATTAAGCTTAAATGATGTGTAATCTGCTTGTGTATAAGTATTCTTGTATACACACCTATAATCACTTTAGATTTATTTTTCCTCAAGTGACTAAGTGTTAGTCTGTATACTTGAGAGGGCTAAGGTGTTTTTCTAAACACTTAGATGAACTGTTTGTAATCTTTCAAGATTATTAGATTAAGTCCCTTTTGAAGGCGAATCACCTTGGCGGGTGGACTGTAGTAACTTAGTTAACAGTGAACAAGGGTAAAAATAAGTGTGTTCATTATTTTCATTCACTTGCTAAACTTTGGTATAAAAAGTTTTAAAAATATTATATTTGGTGAAACACAATTCAACCCCCTTCCCCCTTTTTTGTGTTTCTCACACCTTCACAGATATTATGACAAAGGGAGTGCAAGTCGAAGTTTTCAAGAAGTTAAGGTCTATGATGAATATAAATAGCTTAGACACAATGAATTAGGTGGTGTATTGAGAATGTAATTTCTTGTGTCGAAGCAGGTGTAGCTCGACAGAAAAAAGGATATGTCAAAATTAGCCTAGTGTAGTGTGTGTCGAATTATTATAGATGTCGAAGTGTCGAAGTAGGTTGCTTGACACAAGATTTCGGCTTAGACCAAAATAGAAATTTTGGGCTTTTGTGTTTTGAGCTTTATCTTAGGGAGTAAGGTGGCTCAATTATAAATAGAGGGAGTAACCTCTTTTTTGAGTAAGAACAATAGAGAATAATATTGTAACGCACAACAGAAAATGCAGTTGTACAGTTGAATAAATTTTTTTAGTTTGAGAGTAGAGAGTTACTCTGCAGTAATCATCTCCTCTTCCCCTATTTTGTCAAACCCTAATCTTCTTCCTTATTCAACTTTCTTTCTTCTTTCATTAAGAATTGATGCGCATAATCATTCTTGCAATCAAGGTGCGATTGCTTCACTTGAGTGAAGAGTGAAGAACAAGAGATTTCGACCGGTTGATTGAATCTTGTTCATCAAGATTGATTCGGAATTTCTCAAATTTTTTGGGTTAATTCCAACAGGGACTAGAAACAGACAATTTTGTCCTCCAACGCATCAATCACTGTCCAATTTAATCAGACGAGTCTTCTCATAACACACTGCATCACTCGCGAACGGTTCGAACCACTCTTAGTATATAAGGGTAAAACACGATATTTAAAGTATTCAAATTTATTCTCACTCACACATTACTTTTTATTTTCTCATTGATTTGGGTGTTGGAGTGCTAACCTTGCGGATCACCCCCTCTCCACCACATCAGAAGCTTGCTCCTCTGATCCAAGATCTTAATTCACCATTTCACTGCACATTCCTGATTCTTTAGCGGAACAAATACTTTCTCAATTTGTAGATATTAGAGTATTTTGGCTGAAAGATCCTTTCGAAATTCTGATAATGCATTTTGAGAGCCTTTTAGAATATAAGGGTGGATTGAAAATTATCAACGAAACATTATTGCTTTGGTAAATTGTAATGGAAGTAGAACATGTTAGGTGTGAGGCCTTATATTTATGAATAGTGCTCTACTAGCATGAAAAATCATTCAAAATATTAGCAACATCAAGTTCTAATGGATTTTTTTCTCTCTCAATCATGCAATTCATCTTGTATGGTTCAACTCCACATACCACATTTATATAATTGCATCGTGATAGACTATTTGGTAAAGATATTTTATATAACAAAATTCTGTTATCTTTGCACTATATTTCGTCAACAGATTGTGACAGATTAAAGGAACCAAGTTAAAAAGACTACAAATGAGAAAGACATGAAACCAATATTTTATTTGTCTCTGATAAAGCAACCCAAGAAGTGCATCAGGGTCACTATCGAATATGAGTCAAGTCTGAGTCCTCTGAGTATAACAAAATATGGTCCGTACCGATGGTTCAATTTTATGTGATTTTGATGTATTCTTTTGTTTCTATTTCATAATATTTTTGGCCTTTTGGACCACTTGGATAATATCTATGTTTTGACTTTCAGTACTAGTGTCATATTTGCATAAACTTTCAATTAGATACAAATGAATGTTTAGTATGATAATGGAATGTATTGAGTACTGGCAACATTGTTCATCGTGGTTAAAATCATTTGAAGAAATAAGATAAGGAATCTTGTGGTTCAAATGAATGAGTATCGTTTTGTTATCAAGCTTTGGTCATAATCTTCTTACTCATCAGATGAAATAGACAATTGAAGACTTATAGTAAGACTGTTTTGAAAATTAATGTTTTGAAAATTGTCCGATTTGATACGTGTTGTGTTGTATGAGCGTCATATATGTGTTAGACGTAAACTTAAAGAGTCTCAAAGCAAAAATAAAACCTTTTTTTGAAACACTTGTATGATTTCTTTTACATTTATCTGAATTTTTCAACATATATGTCGTATACAAATATTAGAGAAGGATGCATGTCAGACATCGCGACATGACTCCTCTAGAGGTGTGATACTGAAAATGTATGCATTGACCAACAACTTCCACTTGATAGAAAACAAAATCACAATTTTCTTGAAGATTTTGAAATTTTGAATTTTTAAAGAAACTTGGGAAGCATTCCAACAGCAACGTGACCCGGCTTGACAATTTGTAAAAAATGTTGCACAATTTGTATTTTAGGCTATCATGATTCTCTTGTCAATAAGACAATCATACACGACTCTCTTCATCTAAATTATTTCATCTTTATGTTTTGTTTATTTTACCATAATTAAGACTAGTCTCCAGACGGGCACTCGCGTGCCCGTCTGTCCGCTTTTTTATTGTACACATATAAATATAAATGATATATTTTTATTTAATATTAATTTTAGATGGAAGTTATGTGGGAAATTATTAGTAGAGAGTTATATGAAATATGATAGTAATAGTTCAATGAAAGTTATTGTGTAAATTATATATTTTAAAATAAAAGTAAATTTGGTATAAAAAAAAGTTACACCAAAAACCAAGTATTACCTTTATATATGTTCTAGATAAACAAATACTATGGACGTTATTCTTTAGATTACACACACCGAAATCAAATACAAATACAATACAGTATCATTTATATTACTCTTTAAAGCGCCACCTGAAGAAGCATAGGCACAACAACAAGTTGATGATATTATCCACATTAGTGACACAAATGGAAGATGGACCTTGATGCCCTCATAAAAAACCTCAGCCACAGTGTTTAATGTGTTTTTAGTGGATACCCTTTTGATTATATGTTTTGCTACTTGAGGTATCCACTATCACCAGAACTTCCACCATCATTTGTCGTATTGCCCCTCTAGTTACTCTGTTCAACAATCAACACCCTTTTCAATGTTCTTTCATATATATGATCAATCTTTCACTATTGCACGTGCATACCTCATTCCTCACTCTCTTGTCCCTACAAAACACAAAAATGTCTATATGCCTACTTCATTTTAGGTACACAATTTGTTCTGGGCTTACTTAAGGCCCAAACAAATTCCAAGTACCAAGGCGTACGAAACAAATAGACCATCACTCTGATCAAAAGAAAATAATTTCTCCTCCAACGTATCAATCACAGTCTAATTCAATAAGACGCCCGTCTGTATAGTACACCACATCATGCACAAAGAGTTTCAACCGTTTTTGATATGTAGGAGAAAAACAATGTCATTTCAGATATTTAAATCAATTCTATTCTATTTCTAGCAGCTAACCGAACACTATTATTTTCATCATGTTAATGGTTAGGTAAACATGATTCACTGTAGGATAAGTATGCGGCGATATGTGAAAAAAAACAACTGTTTACTTGTTCTGTACAATAGACGTAAGCTTAAAATTTGTTAATGAACATCAACATCTAAATATTTTATTTCATATATATTATGCTTCTAAAATTTATACATGTCCAAAGAAGGGACAAGTACAAGTACAATCACAAGAGTAGGAAGTAAAAGAAACATAAGAGTAATTTATATATTTATAATGGAAACATGAAAATAGTCTCATATCTCGTAATCTGAATCATGTGGAATTGATTGGTTTTGAGGAATCATCATCATTGAGTTGTGATGTGGTGGTGCCTGGAATTTCAGAAAAATCTTCCATGTTGCCAGGAAAAGAGTTACCAATTTGCATATCAGCTACCATTTGGCGAAGATCGAAAGTCTCTTCCTTAAGGCGTGCATTTTCTCGAACAACTCTGTCATGTGACTCAGAAACATGATTGAGTTTGTCAACAAGATTATGATTCTCAGTTCTAAGTCTCACCACTTGTGACCAGAGTTCATCCAAGTGTTTTTGTTTCCTCATCCTTGATCTCCTTGCTGATTCTCTGTTTGATATCATTCGTCGGTGCTTCCTTTCATCAATCACGTTGTTGAACTGAAGTTCGTCAGCTTCATCGGAAGTAGTTGAGTTGCTGCTTAGACAAGAAGGAGGTGCAAATTCATGCCCTGCGGCTGCTGATGGGTAATGGTAGTTTGGTAAAGTGCTTAAGAGATTATTTAGATGAAAGTTTGGTATTTCACTTTGGGGTAACACATAGTTTTGTGGAATTTGGAATGAATTCTCAAGAGGAGCTATATAATTGAATCCATTAATATCACTGGGAACCATGGTTAGAAGTTTGAATTATTATATATGGTTGGTAAGAGTTTGTTATGATAAGAGATTGAAGGATGTGTGAGAAATGGATTGAATTTATAGGAAGATGATGGGATGAAAAGTGGGACCAAATTGAGGTAAGAGACATAATGCTTAGGGCTTACATGAGCAGAAATTCAATAATTGGGAAGTGCTTCTAGTTTATGCATGTTTTGGTATGAGATATACATCAACAAAAAAGATTACTTTTTATCTTATATGTGGCTATCTTGACTCCATGTCATAAAGTTTTTGATTATTTATCTTATATGTATGGCTATGGATATTATTACTATTACTTGATGTAATTTTTTATTTATAACTACCTTAAGGGTAATCAGGTTAAAGTAGATCTCAAAGTTCAAAAATACTTATAGATGTATTTACCGTATGTATTAAAGATATCGAAATGGAACACAGCTTTTCGATAGGAGTGACAAAGTACATGTTCGTAATATTTAGAACCGTCGCATAAAAGTTCACAAAAAAATTTGGGTTTAATGGAGTCCACATCGTTGATGTTGTATATCTAAAATTTTAATCCACCTTTAAAAAAAATAAGTGTAGGACAAATTCAGAAGACACTGCATCCTTTAAATTAAAAATTTTAAAAATTATTGTCAATGTTCGTGCATAAAAGCTAAAATAATGCAAGATGGAATGAACATATACGCATGTCTAAAATTTTGTTCCGGTTAAAAAAAAAATAAAACAGACAAATTTGATGTGTCGGACCTATTTTACCACTCCTATTTCTTTGGAGTAAACCAATTTCTTGTTTATAATTTAAAGTAGATAGTAATTAAATTCCAATAATTTGAAAGAAAATGAAAAGGTAAGCAAAAGCTAAATGTTTGAAATTTTGTGGTTAGCATTAAGTTGCGACTGAGATGACTTAATGCGTGTCAATAATGATCAATGTAATCTATAATCAAAGTTTGATAGGTAACAGCTGGGAAATAAATCAATATATTGTATATGCAATTTAAAATCATTTTTTAGCACTGCTAAGTTGCTATTCTTGGGGTCCCTACCGAATTTTATAAGCAATTTTGAAAATTATAAACTCTTAGAGCCAATAATTCCTTATGATAGATGACGCAAAGAAGACCAGTTTAAAAGGGTCAAGAATTGATATTTTTATGGTCATTAGTATTAAATTGGATGACTCATGACCCACTTACATAAATCAATGGAAGAGACCTTTGTTGGAGAATATATATATATATATATATATATATATATATATATATATATATATATATATATATATATATATATATATATATATATATATATATATATATATATATATATATATATATATATATATATATATATAAATAAGCAAGTACCACCTTTTACCTAAATTTTAGTTATTTTATAAGAGAAGTAAACCATTGTGTTACTTAACCATAGTTAGGGGTGTCCATGAATACCATTTAATATGAACCCATCTATTTTTATGATTATGGTTTATAAACCAAATTATTTTTATAATTATGGTTTATTAACCAAACAGCTTGTTCTAAACGGGTTTAAAACCGATTTTAAATGGATTTTGATTTTAATCCAAATTATTTAGTTAAATTTAAATTTAATTTTTTAAAAATTATATCAATTTTTAAATTTAAATACTTAATCATATTTTTTTTTGAAAATAAATATAAATTTTTTTTTTATAAAAATCTAAAAATTAAAAATATTTAAAAAATTAAAAATAAAAAATTTTAAAATAAAAAATTTCAACCAATTATATGGACTTAATATGATAACTAATATTTATAATACATATATTTGTATATTTCAAAACCTCTATCTATTGGTGGAGACTATAATATTTATAATTATTTTCTCATAAAGCTTTAATGAACTTTGAGATTTATAAATGAAAACTATAGTCAAATCCAACAAGTTAAGTTTTGTTATATTTTCTTGCACATGCCAAATCAAACTCGATGTACTAAGATCTATATAATTAATTACTGAAAGTTCATATAATTAACTGATAAAATCCATATAATTTGTGAAGTATTAGTACACCATTTTAGATAGTTAGAGAATTTGTAAACAACTTTTTTTTTGAAATACAAAATTTTGAATCTTTTGGTTTAAAATATAAAATTAGTTTATAACGTGTATATGATAAAACATGAAAAGAGATAAAAACATATTAATTTAACAAATAATAAAATTTGGATAACCGATTTATATTTGGATAACAAAATGGTTAACCAAATTTATATTTTAAGATTTTATTTAAATTTTTAAAAGTGAAACAATTTTAATACAAATTTGATTAACAATAACCAATTTTTTTTTTCACACATCTAACTATAGTAAGCCAAACATTATAAAAAGTGAATTTTGATGAAACTCTAGCATTCTCTGTTTTTTTTTTAATTCTTTGCGGGCTAACAAAGTACTTTGTCATGATTGTGGGAAAACAAGTAAGCTATTACATTATTTTCCTCTAGTGTTACCTTACAAAATTTTTAATTAAAAGGAGAATTAATCAATTATCATGATAGTTAAAACTCATTTTACTCATTAGAGTGGAAATGAATAAAACTGAATAAATTTTTATTAATTGTTTAAAAATTTTAAAATGGGACAAGATAAGAAAAGTCGTTTATTATACAATAACCAGAGAAAAAAAATATAATAATTAACGATGAAATGAAATGAAATTCATACTCTATCTGATTTTAAATGATACTAACAATGAAACACCTTTTGTCAAAAAAAAATAATAATAATAAAACGCCACTTTATTTCCTCTCATACCGTTCTGCTCCATCTAATTTCATCGATCCAAACAAAGACTAAATAAACAATTTTTTTATTGAATCCAAAGGTAAAAAAATCTTAGTTTAATTAATAAAAGTTGATATTTTAATGTTGAACCTCAACACTAAAATTCGAACCCTAGATCTCAGAGTTGTGTATGTGAATTTCTCGAGTTATTTTACTCGGGTAAAATCAACATTGCGTTGATGAGTTTGCTTCCTTTCTATTTTCCTTTTAAATTTTAATGTTTTAGGTTAAGCTATCTCCAAATTCATTGGATTAGAACTGAATAGCACTAGGTGCATGAGGCCATTAGCACTTATTAGAACATGTTTATGGTATTACACATGTCTAAAGAACAGTGTAATAACCATCACAATTCATAAGGGTCTTCATCACTTCAGGTTTACTTAACAAAGTGTTTGTGTTCACAACATATTAGGAGCTGCCAAATCTGGTTTTATCTTATAAATTAGTACTTTAGCTTTTCATGCTTCCCATTGTTGTTGCCTAAAATACCTTATTAATCCTATCTCGTTCAAAGCAACAAAAAGTAGCAATATCTTTTCGATATGCATGGTTTGAATATAGTTATTATTGATGATAGCTTTGTTATTTTGCTAATTTGTCTCTTCTTATGGCCCACTTCTATGACATGACAAAGAAAAGATACATATAGCACAAAATGATCAAAAAAGTTTTGGAAAATCGTAACATTATTGTTTTATGTTTCTTAATTTTCTTTAAAGGAAGTGGTTATGTTAATTACTTACAATATATAATTGTCAGGTGAATTCCCACTATTAAATGTTCCTTAGATTTTAAACTAATCTGATAAGGGTGAAGTAAAGTGGTAGGTAAGAGAAAAAGGGAAAAAAAGATTGACAGTGGTGAAGTACGATTAAAGAACATTGATAAACCTTCTCTAAAAGGTCAATGTGTAGGAGTTTATGTGGAACATCCTTTGTAAATTCATTGTACTTTTATGAATTACTATGACACGAATCATAGTGCTTTGCGATTATACAAAGATTTGAGTAATAAGTCCAAGTTAGCCAGTCAAGCTTCTTAGGGAAAACCTGAAAATAATACTAAAGATTTAGCAACTCCAAGTTAGCCAGTCAAGCTTCTTAGGGAAAACCTGAAAATAATACTAAAGATTTAGCATCTCTATGGGTGGAAACCCTAGAAATCAATAGCTTTATTAGAACCAACTTGATACTAATATTTATTAACGATAAAAAAAACATTTTTATATTAGATTTATTTTTCAAAAATAATAAAATCTCTAAAATAGTTAATTCGTTTAATGAAATATTAAATATAACTTGATCAAGAGATTTCATTAAACATAAGAAATACAAGATTATCTGCGGAAATATTTCCGCAGCAGTACCTGCAATTTAACCTGCACCTTTATATTGTAAAATATTATTTCCTGCAAAAAAACGTAGTAGCAGTAAATTTCGCCGAAATTTCTGAGATTTTAACTGCGATTTTAGATTTAAAAATAAAATATAAGTTTCCTGCGGACTTAATCGCGATTTCCTTCGCAAGAATTAGTTATCTATCGAGACCACAAAATTCTTTGAAAATATCGCAGGAATTGCTGCGAGATTTGCTGCGGAATTTGCTGTAAACTTTTCTGCGAGTTTTGCTGCAAATTATTTAGTTTATTTTAATTTTCACGATTAATATATAAAATTATAAAACACATTCGAAGAAAATGTTGTTGAGACATTTTTTAGTTTTATATTTAAATTTTGTTTTTCTAAAAAAAATTTATAATATTAATTGAGATTTTTTAATTTTTTTAAAGAAAATTTATTTATTTAATACTTTTTATTGTTGTATTAAAAAGATAATAAAATAAAATAACCCTTTTACTTTTTTAATCCTTCAACTTATAATTGTTGTATTAAAAAGGTAATAATACTTTTTTAATCCTTCAACTTATAATTTTTTTTAAAATTTAAAATTTAAAAAGGTAATAAAATAACTCTTTTACTCAATTGATAATATATATTTTTATATCATATATAATCCTTTTATTTATTTTGTGTATTAAAATATTTTGGTGAAATAATTAGATTATTATGCTAGAGATCCATTTATTAATTTGCAATTCAATTTTACAATTTAAAAGTTGATAAAATAAAATAAAAATGTTGATTTACTATCTT